TCACTGAGACTGGTTTAAACATATTTTGTTTGCCGTACACTTACCATATATAAATTAAAATCCCAATAGCAAACCGTTTTAACTTACATTATTAAATACATTATTAAAAGGGAAATGTTATCTTTTCCATGTACTTATTCCAAGTGTATTATGATACCAAGTCACTTCTGACTCACAGAAACATCATATCTAGTTTCTAAGTCTTTACAGGAACAGACAGCTCATCTCGAAAAACCCCCTGCCACTGAGTCAATTTCTACTCATAGTGACTCTTTAGGGCAAGGAAGAACTGGCCCTGTAGGTATCTGAGACTGTATATTTTTGCAGAAGTAGAAAGAGCTTCATAGCAAGGTTAAAAAAAATTATCAAAGTAGCTGATTATTAGATTTCATCACATCAAAATTTTCTTAACTGTTTAATATAATGCTGAGTGGAATAAACTGTCCTTGTTTTTACTTTCTTTATTTTCAAAGATTCTAAAATATTTATTTAAAACAGACCTAGAAGTAAATTTCAAAGGCAAATGACTAACTAGGATATATTTTAGTAAAACTATAAAACCCTACCCCAAGAGATTTGTCATTTATTAAATAAATAAATGTAGACAGCCAAGAAACACAGAAAGTTTTAAGCCTCATTAGTAATAAAACTACAAAGTAAAAGACCCTACCGAACTGGCAAAACAATTTCTAGCGATAGCAAATACGGATGTTATACCTTGGCAGCCATGCTTCCTACACGGCTGTAGAATCAATAATCTTGCTGGACTCATTTAAGAACACTAACAGGATACAGGATAGACGATGTTTTTCTTTTTTGACAAAAGTTTTACAAATTAAACTCATATTTCTCTTTCCTCTAAAACTTAAAATAGATGGTGTAGAATTGCCCAACTTAAAGATTAATAAAAAAAATAATTCACATCCACAGTTAGTGACTTTGAGAGTCTTCTTTTCCCCCCTCACATCTTGTGAACTGACTTTGCACCCACCCCCACAAACCACACAAGAAAAACTGTCAAGCCAGGAGCTGGGAGCCTCCTTACTAAGCCAAAGAATTGAGTTGGTTGGAGAAAGAAGCAAAGAGAACAGGAGTAAATTCAGAGAGAGGAAAAGCAACAGGAGAAGGAAGGAAAAGATGGTTCACTGCAGTAGGAGAAAGTGAAAAGAGACCCTACCTAACCCACCTCTGTGAACTTGGCCTCAAGGTGGTGGCAACCAAGGCCTGGTCCAAAGCCCACACCTGTGCCCCAAAGGACACACCGAGAGGAGATCCATTCTTCTGCTGGATCCAGCTGAGACTTTAGAAAGGCATCAATCTTGTTAAGTTAAAAAAGTTTACCTGTTTTATGACCTGAAACTTTCCAATGATTTCTAGAAAGGAGTCTTCAGAAGTCTTTGCTCTCAAAATAGAAGATGCGAAATTTAAACACTTAAATAAACCCTCCATATAAACTCAGCATCACTTGGGAAAAGTAGAGGACAGACAGCCCACTCTGTAAACCCCCACCCACCCAATACTTATCTATGTTTCGGTATACACAAACCTTCTGAAGCTCCTGGCAGCTGAATGTCTGACCCAGGCTGAGCAAAAGTCATTTATGTACTGTGTGAACAGGAAGAATGAGGTGACTGTGCAGCCGTTCACTCACAAAGGGGAAGTGCGATGGGCCACAGAGCTGGAGAGTCCCTCAAACGATGCACTGCAACCTTATACCAGAGCATACTGTTTTGTTTTAAATCAAATAAGCCATTCAAATACAAAGGGACTTCAAAAAATTCATTTAAAATCCCATTATTTTTAAATTCCATTTTGCCACCCATCATATGAGGTGAGCAGAGAGTCCAATGATGAAAAAATATTTTCTTGCCAAATCACCTGTCTATAAATTTCTGGCCTGAATCCTTAAAATATCATCAAAGTAATAGAGCCTCCCTGCCCCTGAAGGGTACAAATAACAGAAACGTAGGTGAAGGGAGACAATGGACAGTATAAGATATGAAATAATAATAACAATA